TGTCGCGCAATGACTTCACCGTCAGATCCGTCTGTACGGCGCGGGAACACATCGGCGGAGTCGTCACCTGCGGTACGCCGGCGCCTATCGTCAGTCCCGGCGACTGCATCGTCGTCGACGGCGATTGGCCGCCCGTCAGGCCGACCGACACCGGCGGGACGTACGGTTGGGAATACATGTTGGATGATAGCGATGGCTGACAGCTTTGCTGCGAGTTTTTAGTGGAATTGCCGACCGGTGGCCGCTGGGCGGGCACAGGCGGTGCCATCATCGACGAGAGCTCCGATACGGCCAACGGGCCGCCCGTTGTCGGCGAGCCGAGCGTCCCGAGACCTGCCGGACCGCCCGGTGACGGCGGATACATATAGAAACTATGTGTTGCGGTCGGGGATTTGGTGCCGCCATAACGACTAGGACTTGAGTGCTATGTTTGGGATCAGATAAAAGAGATTTAGATATTAGTTTAGATAAGTTGTTTTGTAACGTTAAATGTATGTGTATTTTACGTATTCATTAGATTATAACTTATAAGTGAAATGTGTTGTGTTGTGTCTCTTCATTGACAAAATGGTAAGAGAAATATCCTATTTATAGATTGATTTTTGTATTTTTGCCACAAATATGTGTTTGTTTTAATGTTTACGTTACAAAATATGTGTATTTATTTTCTCGCATTTAAAATGGCTTTTGATTATGAAATTTGCATTTTTTTGTTGACAACAGTGAACATGTCTTTTCATTTTTCTAGCTATAGATTTATATTTCCTTTACTTATAACAGAAAATGCATTTCAAAAGCAAATATTAATTGCAATTTCTTATACTTTTTTTTCGTATCAATAAATCTGATTATTAAATGACAGATAAGACACTAACTGCTCGATCGGGCGATTAAATCAAACACATATTTAACGCCAAAACGTGTCTCAAAATACCATAAAAAGCATTAATTAATTTGCAAAAAACAAAACAAATCAAAAGCAATAATACCTTAAAATATTCATTAATTTTCTTATTCCCTTCGTTTCCACGCATTTGTTTCGATGCTATAGTTTTATGGACACAAAAAACAGACAAAATTAGCCACAAATCAGACCCGAAAGTCGGGGCAAAACCATCGGATGGTAAGGGAACGGACCGTTCGGTTGCTGATCCGCCGGCTGGACATCGTTGGCCTTTTTCCGCCGCTTGCGGTCAATGGTCTGCGGCTGTTGTTGGCCGACACTCGTGGCCGCACCCGAACCGCTCGATGACTGGT